ATGCAGCTTCAAAGCTTGGCTGCATGTGGAACAATGCTTTAAATTGGCACAGCCAGGAAAAACTGGAAGGACGACAGGCTTTTAAAGAGTAAAGCTGTATAACAGAGAGCCAGGAGGGAGTTGAGTTTTATTTTAAGTATTTTAACTGTTTTAAGCCATTTTAATATATTTAATTCTATTTTGGTGTTTGTGTGCTGGAGATTTTAAACTGCATGATATTTTCAGTGTGGAGAGCTACTTTGTGTCTCAATTACAGAAATAACAGCAGGATAAAAATAAATATGTTAACAACAACATTGTCAACAATAACACTTTTAAACTCTCTCCTAACCCATCCCAGTTTAGGAGATCTACTTTGTCAGCCTTTTCAAAAAAAAAAGTATGACGTGGCAAAGCACAGCCTTCACAATCGTCAACATTTCCAGATTTCTTAGGTAGCCTCTTTTCCTGGCCAAAAGAAAATCCGGGATTAAATACCTCAAAGAATCCAGGAACAGAAACTTGTCCTTTGTGTTGTTGAAGGCTTTCACAGCTGGAGTCACTGGGTTGCTGTTTGGCCATGTTCCAGAAGCATTCTCTCCTGACATTTCTCCCACATCTATGGCAGGCATCCTCAGAGGTTGTGATGTCTGTTGGAAACTAGGCAAGTGAGGTTTATATATCTGTGGAATAATGTCCAGGGTTGGAGAAAGAGCTCTTGTCCATTTGATGCAAATATGAATGTTGCAATTGGCTACCTTGATTAGCATTGAATGGTCTTGCAGCTTCAAAGCCTGGCTGCTTCCTAAACCGGGCTTTACAGGCCAATGGATACTTCACCACAGACATGAGAAGAGTTACAAGACCAAGAACAGGTAATGAAAGTAAAGGCAAAGGTCCACCCAGAGGAAAAGTGTTCTTACCATACATCAAGGGAACCACTGACTGCACGGGGAAGCTGATTAAGAAACACAACATACAAACTACAGACTCACTAAGAAAATCCAACAAATGCTTCGTTCAGCAAAGGACAAGAGGGATCCTCTCACTTCTGCAGGAGTCTACCGTATACCATGCAGCTGTGGACAAGTCTACAGAGGGACCACCACACGCAGCATTGCCCAAACATGAATCAAGGAACACGAACGGCACTGCAGACTACTTCAACCAGAGAAGTCAGCCATGGCAGAGTACCTGATGAACCAACCTGGACACAGCATATTATCTGAGAACACAAAAATACTGGACTACTCTAACAACCACCATGCCAAGACTGCACAGAAAAGCCACTGAAATCCATAAGAAGCGTGTTGACAATTCAACAGGAAGTAGGAAACCATGAAAACTAACAAAATCTGACTACCAGTATTAAAAACCTCTAAAATCAGGACAGTAAATAAAGAACGACACTAAAAAAACAGGGGAATTCCAGACAAGAATTAATCAGGGCCAGCCAACACCACCTAACAAGGTATTCACCCAGGCAGGAAACAGCCAGGCTTTGAAGCTGTAAGACTATTCAATGCTAATCAAGCTGGCCTATTGCAACATTCACACTTGCCTCCAGCAGATGAGAGTACTTCCTCCCACTTTGGACATTATTCCACAGGTATATAAACCTCAGTTGTCTAATAATAATAATAATAATAATAATAATAATAATAATAATAATAATAATAATAAGGCAAGAACCAACATTGAGGGAAGTTAATAGTAGTAAACTGCTTCGAGTGCAAAAGACAAAGAGGGAATACTGTAAAAACACAATCCAGAGAAGAAGAGAAAACTGGCAAAAGAAGGCTCACCGTGGTCAATTCCTGGGGAAAAATTGAGAGCAAAATTGACAAAGAAAAAACATGGCTGTGGCTCACAAATGGAACTTGGAAAAAGGAGGCAAAGGAAGGCCTGATTCTGGCAGCCCAAGAACAAGCCATTAGAACTAATGCCATCAAAGCCAGAATTGAAAAGTCGACGACAGATCCCAAGTGTAGACTCTGCAAGGAAGCAGATGAAACAATAGATCACATCCTCAGATGCTGTAAGAAGATCGTGCAGAGACTACAAGCAGAGGCACAACACCGCTGCTCAGATGATTCATTAGAACTTGTGCCGCAAATACCATCTGCCTGCAACAAAGAACTGGTGGGATCACAAGCCGGAAAAAGTTACAGAGAATGAACATGTCAAACTCCTCCGGGACTTCCGAATTCAGACAGACAGAGTTTTGGAGCACAAGACTCCTGACCTCATGATTGTGTTGAAAAACAAAGTACGGATTGTCGATGTTGCAATCCCAAGTGACAGCAGGATTGAAGAGGAACAACTGGAAAAGCTTACACGATATGAGGATTTAAAAATCGAACAGCCGGCAGCAATTCAATGCCCCCCATATACAAACAGGTAAAACAACAGTTGCATAATAAGTAAAATATTTAAATTTGATTAAAAACCATTTAAAATAGTGCAAATTGAATTAGTTGGCCATGTCTAAGTCCGAGTTCTATGATCAACAACCTAATCCAAAGACTGTCCATAGTCCATTTTCCATAGCATTGTCGTCATTTTATTGTCAGCCTGCTATCCAAATGCCTGGTCCCATAGCCAACTTTTTCCTGAAGGAAAGGAGGGAAGCCGTTGACCTAATTTCACTGGGGAGTGCGTTCCACAGGCTGGGGGCCACCGCCGAGAAGGCCCTGTCTCTCATCCCCACCAAGTGCATTTAACCGATAAAGGTGGGATTGAGAGCAGGGCCTCCCCGGGACATTGTAAGTTTCGAGGTGAGACTTTCACTATTGGTTGCTACTTCACCGGCGGATGTCAGGTGGTGCAATACCGGCAAAACAGTATAATGTCTCCTGTGGTGTAGGGCACAGACACCCCTTTGATAATGCAGCATGTTCCTGGTGATAACTCTTCTCTTTCCTTCTTTCTCTTCCTCTTTCTACAAATCCATCTCCTCAACCCTGCCAGGATCTTTCACCTTCACGGGGGAATTGCTGAGTTGGTGAAAACTTACTCACTGCCCTCTCCTTTATGTTCATAAAGGACAGCTAACTAAACTGTTAGGTGTTGGGTTACCAGCAGAACTTCTCTCTTGATGTCCTTGAAGTTCTCTAGATTTATTGCCTTCAGAAAAAAACAAGTGTCTTCTTCTTGCTGCATTTTAAACCTGACTGTGCAATTCTATTAGAGATGAAGTCCACGGCGTTCAATGGGTCTTGCTTGCAGCAAAGTGGATATAGGATTGCAGGCTACAATGTCACCTTTGTCTGCTCTAAGAGGGAGAAATCAATTATCTCTGAAGTGTTATTGGAGTCCAGTTCTGTTGCATGTCAGCTTGTCCAGCCTGTGATTGTGTCTCATGTTCATGTTGATATTCATGATGGGAATGGGGATGATGTTACTGAAGATGGGCCTGGGGTTGAAAGTTTGCTTGGGCCTGAGTTAATGTTAGGAATCAGCCTGTGTTTGTGTTTCAGGATCCTGATGTGGGAAATGATGTTGCTGAGGCTGAGGTACAAGATGGAGATGGTTTGGTCAATGATTTTTATACAGACAATGACAGAGAGGCCCCAGTGCAAAGGGCAGTTTCTCGTGAGAATATTCCTGCTGGGCGTAGCAATGATAATTCACTCCCTCTCCCTGTGAGCTCTCAAGATTTGGGTTTGGAAAACAATCTGACACCTGGGAATTTTAATGAGCAGCCAGATAGGGAGCTGAAAAATGGGTGGCTGGAGATTAGCCAGGATCGGCAACAATCTCAGTATTTATATCACTCCGAAAGGCTGCATTTGATAAAGGGAAAATGTGGGGGGGGGGGGATGAAACCTATTTCTGAGTTTTGGGATATAAAGTTTGCTTCAAGGGAAAACCTGTCAGATCAGGCATCATTTGGAAACCAAGTTCTTGTGCCATGGAAGTCTTGTTCAAGGGGTCTTGTTTCTGTGGAGTTTTTTAGCCTTTTGGATTGTCTTTGCATCCTGTTGGATTCCTGTCTGGATTAATGCTGTCTTGGATTGTCTGTATTTCTTGTGTGGACATTGCTCTGGGTTACTACTGTTTATGGACTAATACTTTTTGGAACCTTCAGATTTTCTTACAAGCATTTATTTCTTCTGGCTATTTACTAAGCTTCAATAAAAGAAGATTTGTTTCTTCACTCTTTGTGTGGTGTGTTTTAAGTCAGAGGGCTTCTTCTGGACCTGGAGTGCAACAGTTAAGTTTAGAAGAAAGGCTTTAGCTGTCTCAGGACAATTCACAAGGGCACATTCTTGAGGGAGGTCCTTCACCGCTTTTCTCAGAACATCTGTCCGGACATGATTTGTCAGGTGCAGGAGTTAATGAGGGAGAAGATAATGAAAGCTTGGTCAGAAAGCAAAGTTTTACTAAACAGAGGCAAAGTCTTCAGAGGCTGAGACAATCAGTTCGGCTACAGCAAAAGAGAGATAACAAACCATTATCTGGTGGGAAGGTAAAGAAAAATGCTTTCCTTTTAGTTTTGGGATCTGAAAAAGCTTTATAATGATTCATGGGAGAGAGTTGCCTCAGTCGGGTCAACGTTATTTTATCACGGTTTTGCTTTCAAGTACTCCGAGTTTCATGTATCAAGGTTTTGCCAAGCTCGAGATTTGTCAGTGAGATTTTCCTGCTGTCTTGTTTCATGGATTCAAGTGCCTAGTTTTGTGGATTTTTATGTATTCATGGATCTTGTTTTCCTCTTAAGCTTACTATTTCTTATATTGGATCTATATTGTTTTTGATATTTTTTACTACCTTGCCTACACATATTCTTCAATAAACTGCTTGCTGATTTTTCCAAGCTGGTGTGGTGTTTAAGGTGTTCCTGCTCTGGTGTACGGCAAGTTCTTTAAAGCCTTGGCTGTTTTGGCCAATGGTGAAGGTTGATAGGTTGATAGTAGTAGTAGTAGTACATTAGACAGGAAATACTTTTTTTGGTTTCAGGGTTTTGGTGGTTCATTAGACTCGAGTAAATACTCTCTTGTTGCTTGACATCTCCCTAGGATCCTGCTGACGGTGGTGGTGATCTTCCGCATCTTGATCGTGGCCATTGTGGGCGAGACTGTTTACGAGGACGAGCAGACCATGTTCATGTGTAACACGTTGCAGCCCGGCTGCAATCAGGCTTGCTACGACAAGGCCTTCCCCATCTCACACATCCGCTACTGGGTCTTCCAGATCATCCTGGTGTGCACCCCCAGCCTCTGCTTCATCACCTATTCGGTGCACCAGTCGGCCAAGCAGCGGGACCGGCGCTACTCCTTCCTCTACCCACTGCTGGAAAAGGACTGCGCCCGGGATGGCGGAAAGAAGGTCAAGAACGTCAACGGCATCTTGGTGCAGAACCCCGACGGCTTGTCCAAGGAGGAACCCGACTGCCTGGAGGTGAAGGAGATCCCCAGCACCCCCCTACGGCCGCCCAAGAGCTCCAAGGTCAAGCGCCAAGAGGGCATCTCCCGCTTCTACATCATCCAGGTCTGTCTTTTGTCCATTTTTTATTTCCTCCAGATGTTTTGGCCTTTGACTCCTAATATCTCTCAGCTTTGGCCCTGGTGGTTGGTTGGACTTGCTGGAAGTCAGAAGTCCAAAACACAGGCAGTTCCTTGAGTTACAAACTTCTGACTTACAAACTGTGGTGAGACAACAGGAAGTGGGAAACATATATTCCCCGAAAGGGAAATTCACTCCTGAAAGAACTCTCATGTGAAAAAGGTGTCTCCACTGAAGCTTTATCCTCAATCCTTGTTTCCATAGCCAGGGTCAAATTTTTCAAAATCCAACTCTCACAGGTACAAAAGTGAGGTAAAGTTTTCTTAAAAGGGGGACCGGCAACAAAGGAAATACAACAGGGATATTAACCCTTCCCTATGCTATCTAAAGCTTGGGCAGAAAGATAGATAGATAGATAGATAGATAGATAGATAGATAGATAGATAGATAGATAGACAGATAGATAGAGATAGGAGTTAGCAGTGGCACCGCAGGTTAAACTGCTGAGCTGCTGAACTTGCTGACCAAAAGGTTGGCTGTTCGAATCCAGGGAGTAGGGTGAGCTCCTTCTGTTAGCTCCAGCTTCTGTCAACCTAGCAGTTTGAAAACATGCAAATGTGAATAGATCAAGAGGTACCATTCTGGCAGGAAGGTAGCGGCGCTCCATGCAGTCATGCCGGCCACATGACCTTGGAGGTGTCTACAGACAACGCAGGCTCTTCAGCTTAGAAATGGAGATGAGCACCCCCCCCCCCCCCCAGAATCAGACACGACTGGTCTTAATGTCAGGGGAAAACCTTTACTTTTACCTATTCCAGTGGCATCTAAATACCACCATCTTAGTCCCTAGATACTTTCATACTTTTGTCAAGGGAAAAATTCTGCAGGAGGCAGCAACTAGATTTAAAGTGGATTCATCATCTAGTGCAGTGGTGCTCAAACTATGGCCCACGGGCCACATGCGGCCCGCCGAGGGCATTTATCCGTCCCATCGAGGAGGAGGCCTCTCTCTCAGTGGAATCAGTCTTGGCTCTGCTAACACAGAGGTCCTTTCATTCTTTCTTTCTCCCCCTCACACATTCTCTCTCTCTTTCTCCCCATTTCAGTCTCTCCCCCTTTCCCCTCTCTTTTTCTTTCTCTTTCTCCCTCCTCCTTTCTCCCTTCTCTCTTTCTTTATCTCTTTTTTTCTCTCCCTTTCTCCTCTTCTTCTTTTTATATCCCTTTCTTCTTCTTCTTCCTCGGAGGAGGTGGAGGTGGCAGTGCGTCTGGAGCGTTGCGTCTGCTGCCTGGAAGAGTGGAGGCAAGAGAATTCCTTGCCTCCGCTCTTCCAGAAAAGACACAGAGCTGTGCAGCCAAGAGGTAGCCCCAAAGCCTCCCCTCGCCATCCAGCCCTCCCTCCTTTCCTCCACCTCTACCTGGGCGCAGGGCTCAAGGAACCCCTGCAAAGACTACCCCCCCCCCAAGTTAAACAGGAAGAGGAGAGTGAGGGTGTCAGAAATGCCAGCCGCCCGAAGGAAAGATGTCTCCTCAAAACCTAGGGCTCCTTTAATTCCCCTCTTTGTCCTCAACTCCTCTTCGGCAAATCCAGACTCCTGATGTGAAAATGGCCAGAAGGTAGGCTGTTAGGAATTGTGGGAATTGAAGTCCAAAACACAATTAATTAGAAGTAAACATTTCACAATATATAATTATATGTTGTTTTTGTGATTAATCACTATGCTTTATGTTCAGTTTGTAACAATGAAAATACATACTGCATATCAGATACAGTGTTCCCTCACTTATCGCGGGCGTTATGTTTCATAACCACCCACAATAAGTGAAAAACCGCAAAGTAGGGATGAGGAGGAGGGGAGGGGGAGCTGGGCCTTACCCTGGGGCTTGTCTCGGGGCTGGGCCTCGGCGCGGCCCTCTTTGATGGCGGCCTTCCAGGGACAAGCCCCAGGGTAAGACCCAGCACCTGGTTCTTCCTCCTCCTCTTCTTCCTTCTCGTATTCTGGTCCTACTCCACCTGCTCTCCGAGGACGAAGTCACCACCGAAGAGGGCCAAGCCAAGGCTCACCCCTACTCTTCCTCCTCTTCCTCGGAGGATCCTTGGGCCTTCGAGGAAGAGGAGGAGGAAGAGATAGAGGAAGAGAGGGAGCCTCAGCTTGGCCCTCTTCGAGGATGAAGCCACCGCCGAAGAGGGCCAAGCCAAGGCTCCCCCTAGAATCATAGAATCAAAGAGTTGGAAGAGACCTCATGGGCCATCCAGTCCAACCCCCTGCCAAGAAGCAGGAATATTGCATTCAAAGCACCCCTGACAGATGGCCATCCAGCCTCTGTTTAAAAGCTTCCAAAGAAGGAGCCTCCACCACACTCCAGGGCAGAGAGTTCCACTGCTGAACGGCTCTCACAGTCAGGAAGTTCTTCCTCATGTTCAGATGGAATCTCCTCTCTTTTAGTTTGAAGCCATTGTTTCACGTCCTAGTCTCCAAGAAGCAGAAAACAAGCTTGCTCCCTCCTCCCTGTGGCTTCCTCTCACATATTTATACATGGCTATCATATCTCCTCTCAGCCTTCTCTTCTTCAGGCTAAACATGCCCAGCTCCTTAAGCCGCTCCTCATAGGGCTTGTTCTCCAGACCCTTTATCATTTTAGTCGCTCTCCTCTGGACACATTCCAACTTGGGTCTCCGAGGAAGAGGAGGAGGAAGAGGAAGTGAGGGAGCCTCAGCTTGGACCTCTCCAAGGACAAAACCACTGCCAAAGAGGACCAAGCCGAGGCTCCCCCCTACTCTTCCTCGGAGGACCCTTGGGCCTTAGAGGAAGAGGAGGAGGATAAGGAAGAGAGGGAGCCTCAGCTTGGACCTCTCCAAGGACAAAACCACCGCCAAAGAGAGCCAAGCCGAGGCTCCCCCCTACTCTTCCTCGGAGGACCCTTGGGCCTCAGAGGAAGAGGAGGAGGATAAGGAAGAGAGGGAGCCTCAGCTTGGACCTCTCCAAGGACAAAACCACCGCCAAAGAGGGCCAAGCCGAGGCTCCCCCCTACTCTTCCTCGGAGGACCCTTGGGCCTCAGAGGAAGAGGAGGAGGATAAGGAAGAGAGGGAGCCTCAGCTTGGACCTCTCCAAGGACAAAACCACCGCCAAAGAGGGCCAAGCCGAGGCTCCCCCCTACTCTTCCTCGGAGGACCCTTGGGCCTCAGAGGAAGAGGAGGAGGATAAGGAAGAGAGGGAGCCTCAGCTTGGACCTCTCCAAGGACAAAACCACCGCCAAAGAGGGCCAAGCCGAGGCTCCCCCCTACTCTTCCTCGGAGGACCCTTGGGCCTCCAAGGAAGAGGAGGATAAGGAAGAGAGGGAGCCTCAGCTTGGACCTCTCCGAGGACGAAACCACCTCCGAAGAAGGCCACACCAAGGCTCCCCCCTCCTCTTTCTCCTCCTGTTCCTTGGAGGACCCTTGGGCCTCTGAGGAGGAGGAAGAGGAAGAAAGGGAGCCTCAACTTGGCCCTCTCCAAGGACGAAGTTGCCACCGAAGAGGGCCGCACTGAGACCCAGCTCAGGAGGCTGTCACCGAAGAGAGAAGACCAGGGCTCAGCCCAGCCTGGCAGTCTTCCGGCTGGGCCTCAGTGCCCAAGGAGCCTCCGGGGAGGGAGCAGCGGAGGCCCAGCCCAGGGACAAGCCGCAGGGTAAGGCCCAAGTCCCCCTCCTCCTCCTCTTCCTCCTCCTCCTCCCTCCCCTGTGGGAAAAACCCGCAAAACAGCGAGTCCACAATAAGTGAACCGTGAAATAGCGAGGGAACACTATTTACATTACGATTCATAATAGTAGCAAAATAAGATATGTGCAGTATGCATAGGAATTTGATCATAGTTTTTACAAAAAACTCTAATCCAGTCCCCTATTTAAAAAGTTTGAGACCCCTGCTCTAGTGTGATGAGGCCTTTGGAATGGTAGTAAAATAGCTCATTTGGAGCTGTCCTTGGTGCTGAAAGTGTCCCCTCTCTGGCCATTGCTAATTCTTTCCCTGGCACTGGGAAAAGTATAGTGTTATGTTTCTCCTTTAAATGCTATAGTTGTGTTGTATGGAATGCTGGGATTTGTAGTTTGGAGGGGTATTAGAGCTCTCTGGCAGGGAATTATCCCATGTTTTACAAGATGGAGGAATGGAATCATAGCACAAGTGTGGAAAGTATTGAATGAGCTTTGAATGCAATATTCCTGCTTCTTGGCAGTGGTTGGACTGGATGGCCCATGAGGTCTCTTCCAACTCTATGATTCTATGATCCTAAGGACCATTCCACGTTCTAAACATCTCCTTTGCTGTCCACCTATCTCCTTGAGAGTCCTCAACTGGTGGTCAGCAGATCTTGTGCCCAAAAAGGGCAGAAAAGCACTGGTGTGGCACACTGGCAAATGGGGAGGCTATGAGCTTTGTCAGGCTTGGAGAGCCTAGTCTGATTCTGCCTGGAGGCCTGAGCATATCGTGTCCCTTCTGCTGCTCTTCCTCACCCTGCAAAGCTATAAATAAACAGATGGTCAGTGGGATAGGCCGCAAAGACCCCGGCGCTCTTCCGCTCTTTGTTTTGCAAAGACCTCTGGGAAGGGAGGTTCGAGTGACATGTAGGCCAGGGCTGTGCGTGTCTTTGCATGTCACTCTTTCACCCAGAAAAGTTGGAATTCCTCAACCCAAATAAATTGGAGCAATGAAGCCCCCCAGATTGTCCCTAAATCATCTTCTTTACTCCTCAAATCAGGAGCCCCCAGTGGTGCAGTGGGTTAAACCCCCATGCCGGCAGGACTGAAGACCGACAGGTCGCAGTTCGAATCCGGGGAGAGGCGGATGAGCTCCCTCTGTCAGCTCCAGCTCCTCGCGCGGGGACATGAGAGGAGCCTCCAACAAGGATAAAAACGTCAAATCATCCAGATGTCCCCTGGGCAACGTCCTTGCAGATGGCCAATTCTCTCACACCAGAAGCGACTTGCAGTTTCTCAAGTCGCTCCTGAC